GCCAGCCTGACCCTGCTGATGAGGCGCCCCATGGTGTGCTGAAACCAATCCGGAGTGTTGCTCGCATTGGGGTAACGCTGCTGGGGATTCCGCACTCACCTGTGGTTCCTCGCGAGCACGAGACGTCTTGCTGCTGCTGTCTATCTTTCTTGTTGCTCACTGATTTGCGGACCCTGAATTGTCCACGATTGGCACGGTCGGCTACGTACAGTGCGAAAGAAGTTCAACATGCATGCGGTCCGTTCTCCTATAACGCCGCATGTTGTTTTCACAACGTAGAGTGGATACGACGCAGTGAATGTATGAGTGAACGTATTGTTTATAACGCGGATACGAATTGGATATAACACGATTGAGCGAACTACGTCACAGCGTGAGTAGGAACAAGCGGTCATAATGGCTGCCTCGGGATGGCATCGCACAAGGCATTGGGATGCTGCTGGATGCTTCTAGATGCTACTCACCCGCAGACTGAGGCGCGCCTCATTCTTTGTTCGGCCCTGCGTGATGCATCTCACTCGTTATCGCGGACTGTGCTGTATACGATCTATATAAAGACCTTAATCTGTATGTCTCAAAAACCTCTAGGGTACTTCCCGCAAAGGTACAAAGCTGAAATTTGGTACACAGGCAGCTTTTAGGACACAAACAGGGAACATCTGAAATTCCGAGATTTTTTATTTAAAGGCCCCCAAATCTCGAATTGAAGTGCCCCACAAAGATGTTTGTGCCTGGTGTCATTCAGAAATCGTTCAAAATATAAGATTGCGAGTTGTTTCATTTGATAGAGCGTTAAAGAGCAAATACAATTAAAGCGAGAACCATTGTTCTATATTTTAATGCTTTTGAGATATTTCGGATTCTATGATGCTCAAATCTGAATAATCCGAAAACGGTAAAAGATGGGAGAGCTTCCCCTCATGGAGTTTTACGTTCATAAATGTCTGTTCTTTTTAACAAAGAAAGAACATAATCTTTAAATTGAGCGGTTTCTGATGGGGACGTCTTTAAATGAATGAAGTTGAATCAAGTCGTCAACAATACAAATGTTTGGAGTAGTTATTAGTGTCTGATCGTAAATAAAAAATATCGGCTTAATTATATGTAGCCTGTCACACACTCACACTTAGGATTCTGCTAGCCTCTCCACTGCTAGCCTGTCACACACTCACACTTAGGATTCTACTAGCCTCTCTACTGCTAGCCTGTCTCACACTTAGGATTCTGCTAGCCTCTCCACTGCTAGCCTGTCACACACTCACACTTAGGATTCCACTAGCGTCTCCACTGCTAGCCTGTCACACACTCACACTTAGGAATATTCTAGCCTCTCCACTGCTAGCCTGTCTCACACTTATAATTCTACTAGCCTCTCTACTGCTAGCCTGTCACACACTCACACTTAGGATTCTGCTCGCCTCTCTACTTCTAGCCTGTCTCACACTCACACTTAGAATTCTGCTAGCCTCTCCACTGCTAGCCTGTCTCACACTCACTTAGGATTCCACTAGCCTCTCTTCTGCTAGCCTGTCACACACTCACACTTAGGATTCCGCTAGCCTCTCCACTGCTAGCCTGTCACACACTCACACTTAGGATTCCACTAGCTTCTCTACTGCTAGCCTGTCTACCCTCACTCCTCCAACCGCCCTTGCATCCAGCGTTGGATCAGCCAACACCGCTGGAGAGGACGAGGTGTGGAGAGCGGGGTCCCGGACTTCTCTTGGATCCTCCCTTGTCTCCACTCCAACCAACTCAACTCCTCTGCCTCACACGTTCCCTTTTTATCCTCCTCCTCATTAAGTGGCCCCAGATAGCCCTCATTAAGCCAGCGTCTTCCCCACGCCTCACGCACGTGTTCTCCCCATTATCGCCACTATCTCTCGCCTCTGTGACGCCTTTTCCGCATTTGCATTTGCAGCCAGCCAATCACTGCCTCTTACCCTAATTGCTGGCGTGTCTCCCTCTCTCTGCTGTCACCCAGGCCACCCGCCTGCACCTGCTTATCTTTAGCTGACCTCACTGTCTGCAACCCCGTACATAATGCAACTGCAGTGTGCAAACTCTGCGCGCGTTACGCCACTACATGTGCGTGTGTGGGTTGTGGTTAGTATGGTCGTGTATGGGGTTGTGGGTAGTGCGTGTGTGGGTTGTGGGTAGTGTGTGCCTGGGTTGTTCGATTCCCGCTCATGGCGGCCAACACCAGTGACAACGATCTGAACTGGTCCTGGGCCTCCCCTAGGTCGACTCAGCCTAAACAACGAGTACCTAGTGCGGTGTGTAAACATCAGCACTGGGGGGGACAAAGGCGGTCGTGGGTGGTGCCGGCCACCCACCCCTCATGTGCCGTGCCGGCCTTCATAGGTGCTACTCGCTAACAGCACTTGTTCAAACAGTCTGTTCAAGGCTATATGGGGGATCTTTGGCGATGATGGTGGTTGTGAGCGATCTGGTTACCCAACGTGCACACAGCCTGGGGAGGAGATATTGATAGCTTTACAAGTGAGTGAGCCGTAATGATGATGGTGAGTGTAAGAGGTGTGTATATTGAACTTCTTTCGCACTGTACGTAAGCCAACCGTGGTAATTGGAGGTGGGGGAATATGTAGTATCAATGACAGACAGAATTAACTTTTTAAAACTGTTTTTGTTACATACTTATGGATATAGAAAACTGTTCGTGGGTCTCGCCCAGGGGTTGACAAGCAAGATAAGAAAAAGAGCATGGGACCTTTATGCCAGTATCAAAGTGTAGGGGCATAGTGTAGTGGCATAGCATAGTGGCATAGTGTAGTGGCATAGTGTAGTGGCATAGCATAGTGGCATAGCGTAGTGGCATAGTGTAGTGGCATAGTGTAGTGGCATAGCATAGTGGCAAAGCATAGTGGCATAGTGTAGTGGCATAGTGAAGTGGCATAGTGTAGTGGCATAGCGCAGTGGCATAGCGTAGTGGCATAGCGTAGTGGCATAGTGTAGTGGCATAGCACAGTGGCATAGCGCAGTGGCATAGCGTAGTGGCATAGTGTAGTGGCATAGCGCAGTGGCATAGCACAGTGGCATAGTGTAGTGGCATAGTGTAGTGGCATAGCGCAGTGGCATAGTGTAGCAGCATAGTGTAGTGGCATAGCACAGTGGCATAGCGTAGTGGCATAGTGTAGTGGCATAGCGCAGTGGCATAGCGCTGGCTGCTGGCAGGAAAGGAGATCTGCAGCGTACGGCAGCCCTCACGTCAGCAGGCTAGGATACACACCAGAGGGAAATCTAGGGGAAAAATCACAGAAGGGGCACACCAAGAACCCGCTGGTAGGTTCCAGAAAGGGGGCGTGGCCGGGGGCGGAGCCAGGCCATGCTGAGAGTAAAAGAGGGGCCCCTGTAGGGGACCTCGGGGCTGTGGTTGGAGTGGGATCCCCAGCGTGCTGCTGAAGTCTTCGTCACCATTCTTCTTGTCATCTTCACCATTCTTCTCGGCATCTTCACCATTCTTGGTGTCGTTGTCTCCGTCATCACCATCTCGGAGCGCCACCAGTCAGGCAGCCTACCAACTCTGCTGACTGAGTATTGTCGCCGACAATTGACGGACTACTTATGAAGAGTGTTAACCCCAACGGTGCTTGTTAATAAGTGCCTCCATGTCTCATCATCACTGCAAAAGTATGAAAAATAAGAATCGGTGTTTACCCTTTTGGGCAATAAAACAGAAGTTGTGTTACGATGTTCAAACACCAAGCAGAAACCTTTTGCAAGGAATAAAGTTACTGCGTTAACCACACGCAGTACTTGTCGTGAACATGCAAACAAACACGCTCTGATAATATATGCATTGTCTTTGAAACTGAAGGCTGTCTCTGGTGTATGCCAATCAGTTTCAAACAACCACCCCCACACGCAACCACCCCCTCCCAGACAATGTCCAGGAACCACAATAAATCCAACTCAGATGTCAACAGAAAGGGAATGTGAATTATAGTTAATTTCTGAAAATGTATCAACGCAAAATATTGTATTTACTGCAAGAATAAATACCGTAAATTTGACTGAAATATCGAGTTGGCGTGTACAATATATATTCTGAAAATGTTGCGTGTCTCTATTTGATCTTATCTCAGATACATTGGTTGGGACAGACGGACGGACGGAAAACCCGATTAATTATGCCTCAGTAATGGACTGTAATGAAACTCACCTGTACACTCAGGGTGGTGAGGCGTGTGACATAGTATCCTCACCTGTACACTCAGGATGGTGAGGGTGGTGAGGAGTGTGACGTAGTATCCTCACCTGTACACTCAGGGTGGTGAGGGTGGTGAGGACTGTGACGTAGTATCCTCACCTGTACACTCAGGATGGTGAGGGTGGTGAGGAGTGTGACGTAGTATCCTCACCTGTACACTCAGGGTGGTGAGGGTGTTGAGGAGTGTGACGTAGTATCCTTACCTGTACACTCAGGGTGGTGAGGGTGGTGAGGAGTGTGACGTAGTATCCTCACCTGTACACTCAGGGTGGTGAGGGTGGTGAGGAGTGTGACGTAGTATCCTCACCTGTACACTCAGGGTGGTGAGGGTGGTGAGGAGTGTGACGTAGTATCCTCACCTGTACACTCAGGGTGGTGAGGAGTGTGACGTAGTATCCTTACCTGTACACTCAGGGTGGTGAGGGTGGTGAGGAGTGTGACATAGTATCCTCACCTGTACACTCAGGATCGTGAGGGTGGTGAGGAGTGTGACATAGTATCCTCACCTGTACACTCAGGGTGGTGAGGAGTGTGACGTAGTATCCTTACCTGTACACTCAGGGTGGTGAGGGTGGTGAGGAGTGTGACGTAGTATCCTCACCTGTACACTCAGGATGGTGAGGGTGGTGAGGAGTGTGACGTAGTATCCTCACCTGTACACTCAGGATCGTGAGGGTGGTGAGGAGTGTGACGTAGTATCCTTACCTGTACACTCAGGGTGGTGAGGGTGTTGAGGAGTGTGAGGTAGTATCCTCACCTGTGCCCTCAGGCAGGGGACTCCCCCACGTGCAAGCCAGCGGAGCTGCAGAGCGTCCACGTGGTGTCCATCGTGACGTCGCGGTTCGCACGCACGCGCGTCATAAGCCGCGCGCACAACGACGGGGACCGCGCGCGCCACAGCCTCTTCCACGTGCTCGTGCCCAAGGGAGCGTTTATCTCCAACTTCAGCATGTGAGCACGCACACGCGTGTACACACACACGCGTGTCTACACACACACACGTGTACACACACACACGTGTACACACACACGTGTACACACACACTAGCACACACACACACGCGTGTACACACACACTAGCACACACACACACTAGCACACACACATACGTGCGTGTACACAGACCAATACCGCCACTAAGTGACGGTGACGTCACCACGGTGCCTGTGCCAGGGCAGGTGCACTTTGAAGCCACGTGAAGTGTCGAAGGTTTGCTGACAGGAGGTCTCGGTGCAGACCCAGGTATCATGGGTTGGCTGACAGAGATGACCAGTAGATGCACCAGCTGTATCCCCTACACACACACGTGTACACCCACACACACGTGTACACACACACGTGTACACACACACGCCCGCATGCGTGCACGTGTACATACATGCGCATGTATTCGCATACAGAAAAAATCCCCCATATAACCATAGCAGACTGCTGGTCAAGTTTGCAAGGACCTACGATGGCCGACACAGCAGACGAGGGTGTGGGTGGCCAGCACTGAAAATGCGGTAAATCAATGGAACCCTCAAGTAGACCCCACCACCCTGGCTGCCCATGCTGTCACAAATCTCTCCCACACCCATTTGCCACAACGCTGAAACCCTGCGAATCGAGGTAAACAGTCGCCCCTTCCCATTCATCAGGACCTCGATAACGTCCCTCGTCATCGCTTGAAGTCACGCCACGCACTTTTGGATGCACGTGCTTAACTTTAATCAATGCGGGTTCAACCCCCTTAATGAAGCCTGGAGAGCTGAATGGAGTTCAAAATGACTCACAAACACCTGGTTGTGAAAGACCCAAAGTAAAAGACCTCTGAGTTTGATTTTCCACGAAGCTCATTGTCCACCCTAAACCGCATCCACTCCAAAAACAATGGCACATACGAATACCTGATGCACAAATTGGCGATTAAAAACTCTCTCCTGCAGTGTGCGACTGTGGTCATCCAGGACAGACCGTAGTACAACGTATAATGACCCAACGCTCTGATCAACAAATACGAAGGAGACATCACGGCGATTATGATGATGATGATGATACACTACTCTGTTTGCTCCTGGCGAGGTTCTCTGGCTCAACCACCTGAATGGGAAATTGTAGTTGTTGCTCTGCATCGACATCAAAGACCACAATAAAAAAAGAAGAGATCCAGAGTCCCAGTGTGAAAATGAACCGAAATAACAGAGTGCAGCGAGTCCAAGGATTATCCGTTTTACTCTTCTGACCTTGCAACCATGGGACAGGGTGCAGGGAATTCCAGCAGATATAAATACAAAGTGCCCTTTCGCTTGGTTGCATTTTCGGTATTAACGGTTGACCCCAGGCTGGGATTATCGGGCTGCCTGGCGCTCTTCGCGACTTCGTGCTGCCGGTGGCTCTCGGTCCGTGTGGGGGGTAATGACGCGACCCACCTTGGCGGAAGCTATCCGCCCCCTGCTTTAATGCATCCGTGACCTGCACCGGTGTGGCATTCACAGCCATCGTTTACCCAGGGCCCGGTCTGCCAAGAACCATGCCCTTGCACCCTGGGGCTGTTTCTGCACCGCACTGTTCCCTAGCGACTCGTCTTCTCCAGAACGAGGAGCCACAAGGACCTGGGACTGGAATTGTAGTTGTGGTGGTGATGGTGTTGTTGGAGCTAATCAAGAGGGGTTATTGCAGCCATGCCCGGTCTTCTGATTTTGTCCGGGGTGAGCGCCGGAGGGAGCGTGTGAGTGTACGTGGTGGAACAGAAGGGGGGAGGGGGACTTACACCTCCTCCACCAAACGCCTCTCCCCCCCGGGGCCTCCAGCTTGGTAGGCTGTTTCCTTTGTGGTTTTTGGTCAATTCAATGCAAGGTGGAGGAGTTATCTGCCCTATGCATGCAAGACCTAGGGGATACCTGGACCTGTTCACATAATCGTCACTGGGGTTGGCCGTGAACGGGACTCGAACCCTGATCGCCGGCTTCGTAGTGCAGTGCACTTACCGCTACACTACCGCTCCCCACTCACCCTTATTCACACTCAATTCAGCCAAACCTCACCACACTCAACGCTTTACCCCTACTGACTCCTACTCGTCCTCACCTCAACCTCACCGTGTTCACCCTTGTACCACACTACACTTCAATACCACACTACACTTCACAACAAACTATGCACCGTACATGCTACGTTATGCTGCACACTGTGCTATACACTGCACTACCCCACACGACTGTACACTATACACTCTGTGCGGACTCATACATACATACACAATTGTACGTCTCATCTGTTTTTTGTAACTCACATGTGTACAACATATCTCATCTCTGTCTCATCTGTGTGTCTTCCTTGTCTCTGCATCTCACCTGGCTGTGTGTGTCACTTGTCGATCTCACTTGTGTACGCGTCTCACCTGTCCGTACGTCATATCTG